GCTTTTTTCTTTTTGCTTATGTGGTGCTGAGGAATCGAACCCAGGGCCTCGAGCATGCAAGGCAAGCGCTCTACCACTGAGCCACCTTCCCAGCCCATGGTGTGTGAATTTTTGTGCACAGATACAAGACCTTGTCAGCTGGTCTGGGGTCCTGAACCATTGTTGTGTCCCAGGATACAGCTGTTGCCATAGTGGCTTCTAGAAGCATTTGACAAGGATTTTGGAGTGAGAGGAATAACCAGTGGGCAGAAAGGCAGGACTGGACTAGGGGAGAGAGAAATGGACAGACACTTTTGGAGGACACAGACAGAGAGCTCTAGGGAGCAAATTACAGTGTTTTGGAAACCAGTGACTATGATTTTTTTTTCCTTTGGATGGATGCCGGCATATTCACTGCATCTGTGTACATGTGTGTGTGTGTGCGCCTATGTGCATGTGTGACTGCATGTCCATGTTGCAAACCTCTGCTGAGGCTGACCCCTTGCTGTATCTCATCTGCTCCAAGGGAAAGTCAGGGTTCTGGGACTGGGGTGAGGCATCACCGTGGCTGAGGCTAGAGCTAGGGTTGGACATTGCTGCCTTGCTTTGAGCCTGGAAAGAGCTGCTCCCAGCAGCCATATATATTTCAATGTAGTAAAGAACTCCCATCTAGGGAACTCTGCTCTACTAACCAACCCAACATGGGGAAGCAGGGCCTGACTAAAGGGAAGAGAATCTCTGCAGGACCCCGGCTTTTATCCCAGAGCCTACACGGTTACACCCCCTGCCTACTTTCTCCAGGTCTACCCATTCGTGGACCTCGGATACTGGCCTTCCTGCACAGGGAAGGAGGGGCGTTGGTTAGGGGGAGCCCCTCTTCGCTGCCCCACAAGCTCAGGGGCTGCCCTACCCGCGGCCGACAGCAGAGGGGGCCCTCGGCCTGGGGATGGAGGTCGGGGCTGGCAGGGCCGAGGCTGAGCTGGGGGCGGGGTGAGAGAACTTGAGTCCGAGAGGTTGAGCGCGGGGAGGGCCGCGGGGGTGGGGGGCGGCGGGTGGGGGTGCCGGGAGCGGGCCCGCGCAGTAAGCCAGGGAAGGCGCCGGGCTCCTTGGGGACCTCGTCCGGCTCGCGCGCGAGGACGCCGCAGCCTCAGCGCTCTATGCAAATAACGCAAATTACTATGCAGACCTGCAGCTCTCCTCCGAGCCCGCAACTTGGGTGGTTTCCGAACGCGGCCCGGCGGGGGAGGCGGCTTCCGCCCGCCCGGGGAGCCGGGGCGGCGCGCGGGGCCGCACCGCTCGGTGCTCCGGGAGGGCCTCCCCTTCCGAGCTTCAGTTCGGGCCTTCGTAAATGGGGGTGCTAGCGCGGCGCTCCTACACCTCGTTCGCAGGGAGAGGGCTTTACATGGGACCCCCCACCCCCAGACCCTGGAGCCCTGCCTCGGGGCGGGGACTGGGCCACCCGATCCCCAGCCGCTTTCTGGCCTCAGTTCCCAGCCCCAGGACGGTGTCTGTCTTGGTAGGGGCCCGGAACGCGCATAGGCATGACGTTGCTAGGGGGCGTGGTCGGCGGTTGCTAGGCTCGAGGGGCGTTGCTAAGCAACGCTGGGCGGGGCTAGCGTTGCTAGGCCGGAGTTGGAGTCTCGGGCTACCCAAAGGGCTCTGGTGGTGGGCGCTTGCGGCCCGCAGGGATCGCGGAGCTGCTCTCCTGTCCCTGTCTCCTGTCCCTTCTCTGTCTCTGTCTCTGTCTCTCTCTCTCTCTCCCCCCCCTCCTCTCCCCCCCCCAGACCGTTGCTGGACACAGTGTGGGGGGGTCCTTCCGGTTCCCATCCCCAGCCACTCCGAGATCCTCTGGGCGAGGGGGAGCGAGGAACCCTGGGTCTTCGCGCACGTGTCTGTGCGCCTGCTGGTGCGGGGGCGTAAGGGGTGTCGTTTTTGGATTTCCTTAGCAACTGCTTCTGTGTCACCTCATTGCTCCCAATGGTTTAAGCCGGTGCATGCACACATTTGCATATATCTGCGTTCATTTGCATAGGGGGCGTGGCTGAGCTTGTTTGGGCTGTTTGCCCTTTGCACCTGAGTTGTGCCTGCGTGAGTGTTTAGCGTATCAGTGTTCCTAGATTTGGGGTGGGTGGAGACCTCTGGCAGGGAGTACCAGCCCCTGGTCCCCTGTGCCTTCAATGAGCCAGTCACTTGGGTCCCTCCAGGTGTCCCTGACCAAAGACGCTCACTTCCCTAAACAAGACCAAGTCTTGTTGGAACCCCACTCTGCTCTTCCCTGGCTGTGTAGTCTTGAGTTATGTCTCCTCTCTGTGGCTCAGTTTCCTTTCCTGAAAAGAGCGCTATCAGTCCCTACCTCACGGGGGTATGTGTGGGTTAAACGCGATATTCCTTTTACACACGTATTGCTGCTCTAGCACACAAAGATGATTCTCTGTCTCCCTCCTTTAGAGCCAACTCCTCTCAGAACTTAGCTAAGGCAAATCAACTTCCTTTGCAGATCAAGACATGAGAGCTAAACCCCAGGAAGAACTTCCAGGCACAAGAAGAGGACTGTTGGCTTGCCTGTTTGTCTTTGGAGGCTGGAGGCCAGGTTGGTGCAGCATGGATCCTGGCCACCCCCCTTCCTTTGTCTTTCTTATGGAATACAGTTTCCAGAACCTTTGCGTTCCTGTCCCTAAGGGTGTTGAGCCTGAGGTGGCTGCCGCCTGGGCAGCTGCAGCTTGCAGATGGAGCTGAGGAGGTGATAGCTGCGAAAGTGCCCTTCAGGACTGTCTGGGTTGGAGCAGGGCCCTGGTAAAGACCAGAAACTTTGCCTGGAGAGTTGCATGTCTCAGCCTGTACCAGAGAGGACTGGGGGACCCTCCAGCTACCTCCTTGGCCCTTCAGGGTCTCAATTTCTCTCTTGTGGATAATTGCCACTTGTCTGCTACAATATAGTTTTGTTGTTGTTTTTGAGTTGTGGGGGGTGACTCAGTACAAAGAGCCCCCTTGCTGCCGCTGCAGCTACGCACAGTCCATGGAGGGAGTGAGCTCCCTGTTTTCAGGGCTACACAAGAAGTATGGGTGGGATGAACAGCAGAACTTCCTTGTGAAAACTCTATGGTGTGTGTGTGTGTGTGTTAGTACTGGGGTCTGGGCACTTTTGCTCAAGGCTGGTACTCTACTACTTGAGCTACAGTTCTACTTCTGGCCTTTTGATGGTTAATTGGAGAGATAAGAGTCTCACAGACTTTCCTGCCTGGGCTGGCTTTGAACCTTGATCCTCAGATCTCATCTTCCTGAGCAGCTAGGAGTACAGGCATGAGCCATGGGCTCCCAGATCCTTTTGGAAATTCTTATTCTTCTTTGCACTTCAGCTTCTCCAGAGACTTCGGCTTCCTCAAAGACTGAGAAGTCTTTGGGGCTAACTTCTGCCTTCCAGTTCTGGTAGAGTCTCCTTCTTGCCTTCTTTCTTCCAGCCTTAACAGTCTTGAGGGCTAGGCTCACAGGGAAAGCAGAAGAGGTGTCAAAGGGCAAAACCCAGTTTTACTCTGTGTTGGTGTTAGTTCTGACAATGAAGTGGAACTGATTCCTATCCTAGGCAGAAGGTTGTTGTTAGTGATAGAGATGGGTGTAGGATCTGGGTCCTGATTGGTCGTTTGGCTTCTGGGAGGAGGCAGGGCTGCATAAGGGCCATACCTTGCAGGTGCCATTCTGACTAGTGTTTGTAAGACTGATGTCTGCTGGCAGTAGGCCAGCCCCTTCCCTGTAGCCACCTGTGCGCCACAGGTGAGGGTTCTAGGGACAGGCTAAGAGGCTGGCAGTGCCCGGCTGGCCCGCCTGTGTTCCACTCTAGGGGCCAATTAAGTCTCTATCCCTAGCCGTGCCGATTAACAGCTAATAAGGCAGCAAACACCTGCAGCTATGGAGGCGAATTAAGAGCAACAGTCGGCATAATACACAACCCGATAAGTGAGCAATTAACAACCGGAGAAAGATTAATAGAAGCAATTATGTCCTACTCGGAGCTCTGTAAATACGACTATCAAGCACTGGGGGATTCAGTCCAGTCTCACCTGGCCCCACCCCAGGCCACAGCCTCTGCTGACAGTGGAATCAAGGAAGCCAGATTATGGAGCCTGGACCACAAAGCCATGTACACA